AATAACCGGATCAGGAAAGAAATAATTGGCGGGCGGAGGAGTTAATTACTCGTGGGAAAAAGAGGAGAGACAGGTTTATAATTAGAGTGAGTCACCGGGGACGGCCATGTTTGCGCTCGGCCTCCTCCTCATAAGTCTCTGCAGACCGGTAGGGTGAGGCGGGACACACCGCAGTCTCTATAAACCACCGCGTTCAGCCGGGTGATGTGACGGTGAAAAGACCGGGGTCACCAAAATACAGCGAATGGAGAGCAGGGGCAGCTTAAAGTGAACCTGTCACCACAAATGCTGCGTGACACCGATGTGTCTGTGACCTCTTCGGAAGGGTTGGCACCGAATTGTACCATACGGGGCAATGCCTAATTCCCCCCTCCCCTAACCCGAATGAAGCCAGCAAATGGTATTGTAAGTCGTTGCCAAATTACATCATCACAGGATCACTTTAAGGGCTCGATCACACGTGCGACAACAATGCAATGTGCACGAGCATTACAATTCATTCATAAAGTGTTTTTTTGCTGTGTCCTGTTGGGGAGATTTTGCTTCACTTCCTGTTCTATAGACACATCAGGAAGTGACAGGAAATCTCTCCAAAGAGAGTAAGTAAAACCGCTCTTATCTGTCCCCAGAACATATGTCCCCATTGGAAGATTTCCTCTGTAATACTGTTCTGGTGACAACTGTAAAATGTTGGGTTTCCCCCATTTCCTGTCCTGATAATAATGGTGGTCACCGGTGATGAGTGAATTGGCCTGGGTTCAGTTTATTTGGACGTTTGCCAGGTCCAGACAGAAATCCAGGTGAGCATCCAAGAAGACCAAAGCCAGGTGTCCTAGCAACCAATGATGACGTGTGATCCTCACAGCATTATTGGTTGCTAGGACACGAGAGCTTGGGCTGCACATCCCTATTGGTTGCTAGGTCACAAAAAGCTAGGCTGCACAGTATCATTGGTTGCTAGGTCACTAGAAGCTGGGCCGCACAGCCTCATTGGTTGCTAGGACACTGGAGGCTGGGCCACATAGCCTCATTGGTTGCTAGGACACTGGAGGCTGGGCCACACAGCCTCATTGGTTGCTAGGACAATAGCGGTTGGGGCACACAGCATCATTGGTTGCTAGGACAGTAGAGACTGGGCCGCACAGCATGATTGGTTGCTAGGACACTAGAGGCTGGGCCGCACAGCATCATTGGTTCCTAGGAGAGTAGCGGCTGGGCCACACAGCCTCATTGATTGCTAGGACACTAATAGCTGGACCGCCCAACATCACTGGTTGCTAGGACACTAGAGGCTGGGCCCCACAGCATCATTGGTTGCTAGGACAGTAGAGGCTGGCCGCACAGCATCACTGGTTGCTGGGACACAGACGGAGGTTCAGTGGGCAGGTAAACTGGCAAAATCTCTCACCCGTTTGCTCATGCTCTGCGATAATTGGAGACCTCTACCTCTGACCTAGCAAGGGGAGTGCCTGACCTCTGCAGAGAGACCACTGCTTGCCCACAGAAAGCAACAGTCCTTCTCTGCTGCATGCTGGCAGGTGACAGGCTGTGGCTGCTTTATTTATAGAAATGTTCATAATTGACTGATGTGACTGGCTCAGTGTTCTCTGTACAGCACTGCGGTATATGTCAGAGCTTTATACTTGTATAATAATAGTGTGTGACTGTGGGGGGACATTCGAGTGTAAGCTCCTCTGTCCAGAGACTGATGTGACTGTGGGGGGACATTAGAGTGTAAGCTCCTCTGTACAGAGACTGATGTGACTGGCTCAGCGTTCTCTGTACAGCACTGCGGTATATGTCAGAGCTATATAAAAAGCCCTCGCACACTCAGGTTGCCTTCGGTTACAGCTCAGCCTGGCTCCTCCCACCCTCGCTCCCTTCAGACGGTGGTGGGCGGAGCCACGAAAGCCCATTCTGTCTTCTTGTATCGACTGTAGGAGGGCGGAGCTGTCTGCGATGCTGTAGTAGGAAAGGGGCGTGGTTTGCAGCGCGTTGACTGGGGCCAGGAGGAGGAGGGTGGAGCTTGCTTAGATGGGCAGGGTAAGAGACTGAGTAGGTGTCGCGCGTTGATGACGTAGGCGGAGGCCGCGCCAGCAACAGCAGCAGCGGGATCCGGTGAATCGTCGCCCCGGTGGAGTGAGCGAGGAGCCCGGCCCCATCTCCTCCTCTCAGGTAACAGATCCTTGTCTTCAGCCCTGTATGGATTACTCAACTCTTCTACGGGCCCCCCGCCGCTCAGGAGGTCCCGCGAGGCCCCTCTGCTGTGTGGGGACCCTTCCTGGCGCTGGCAGCAGCTGTGCAGACACAGGCAGCCATCTACAAAGAGCACCTGTCAACCGCAGGCGGCTCTGGACGGCCGTATTGGGGGGGGCTGATCTGATGGGATCCATAACAGCCATTGTCAGCAGGTCTGAAAGGCCATTATAGCCGAGCCCTGTGTGTGTGGTGACAGGTTCTCTTTAATCGTGCTGCAGGGTGTACATTCACCGGTGACACTGATGGGGTAAGTATTGGTCCAGAATACAAAATGACGCCTGCAGTATGTGTGGTGACAGGTCCTCTTCAATGGCGCTCAAATGAGACTGTCATTTTCTCGTCCCCCTTAGTGATGTCCCCGCCCTACATCCTAGGCCTGAAGTGTGCGGGGACAGGTGCGCTTTAGTAGCGCTTAAATGGAAATTGCCATATTTC